CCAAGCGGAGTAGAAGAAGTGGAGTATTGCATTGGCAATTTCTTACTTCGCTTACGTAATAGAGAATATTTACATGCTCATAACGATCCAGCCAAACTCGTCACATATTTTGGACTCATTTAGTAAACAGAACCTTATCAGAAGCACAGTTTTATTGAGGAAATGATTATCAAACTTCTGCGGGAATAATAGTAAAGGTGGTGAAGACCTTTGGTCTAAATGACCATTAACTTCACAACGGACAAGTGCAAAATGGAAAGATTAATCACACATTTATTTCAATTTTAGCTCTGGTCATTTTCTTACTAGTTCTCATTCTGTAGATACTCCTGAACTCCAGACAGATAGTACCAATTTTGACTACATTTGTTTTCCTACTGATGATGAAAGCATAAATAAACGCGAATTTCGAAAAACAGAGAGGAAGTCGGGATACCAAATAGTTTAGACGTCTGTTAGAACTTCGAACTGCACATAATCACTAAATTTATTGTAACTGCCTTCAATGGATTACTTTTGATTATATGTAATGACTTTAAATCATGTGACTGTGGCTTTCTTTCTTCACCAGTTCATTAAGATTCTGCAGATTTTCTCATTCTCTCTGACGAACACTTACACTTTGTTTTCATAGGTGATGTAGGAATATATGTGACTCGTAAACCTACTTCACACTCCAGTTCTGATCACTGCATTATCCGTGTTCTATCTAAAGTATATTCCAAACCCTGAATGAGTACACTGTTATATCGGACAAATAAAGTTTTGCACCGAAAGCTCTCAGAAGAAAGTATCAAAAATCTGTAAAAGTATATTTCGTGCGATAAAACTAAATTTATTTTCAGACGACTCATTGGAAAACACTTTTGATGTTGCCGTTCATTATCTTAAACTCTGCTTTGATGTTTGTTGTTCCAGTGAAATCATTTTTGTAACTTCTGATCGATTTACACCCCCCAAACTAAATGAATACGGAGAAAAACCCATTTAAGGTCAGAAAGCTAAATAGTCTAATAAACCTAGAGATCAGACGTCAGAACTCATTGCTTACTCAGAAACTCCTATCTTGTAAACACTCGTCAAGCCTGTGGAAATTAGTTTGAGAACTTACAGGTGAAAAGCACATCAGAATCAATAACCAGCTGAATGTATGTACTTACATAGGTTTTTCACACGTCAGTGTTCTGATGTCATGCTTCCCATATATAAATACTTGAAGAACAACTGTCTTTCATTTTTTTTACTGCAACGGATGTCCGGATAATCGTCTAGTTGTGTTCGTACTTCTTGAGAAGAGAAAATTACGCTGCGCCTGCGGTAAAGTGTTCAACGTTTCCGTTAACACAAAATGTGTCTTATGGAGCTATTCTTTCTCTATTTCTTTCCACTGTTTTCTTGTATGCATTCAAGTGGAAGATCATGATGCGTTCTTGTCCTTCATGAGAAAACTGTCAATGGTTTCACACTTAACCCTTGTAAATATCAAAGTCTTAACTTTGGCCTGAGACATAAGGAGCACCTAAACACCCTGTTGAAATCCCTTAAAGCTCTTACAGTTGGAGGTGCTGCAATAAAAACAGCTTCCGTCTACTATTTTTGACTGTTCGCCGTTATTCTTTCACGGGCTTTTGGGAAATACTGCTGTATCGCGGAGAGTGCTGAAGGCAGTTAGCTGGGTTTGTGGTGAATCCTTCAAGGCCATTATTAATATATGGTTGTGGATAGTCATCTGAAATCTTGTTAACTCTTGGCAGGTTTTATCTTATCAGATACTAAACAAACACCTCATTCATATCTTTCTCCCTGTATATCTTCTGGTAAAAAGAAACTCTTATGCTTTAGAACCTATGCACACAAGCAAATATATGAAGAACCCACAATACCTTATCCACCAAATGTGTCACGTGGTGAACGGGTTGTTAATCTGACCTGGTCAATAACTTGTATCCTTAAACACGTTTCTAATTAAAAGTTGTGTGGATTTAAATCACAACAAATGCATTTCATCCAAGTCACGGTAGTTTTTCAGCTTAAATTCAAATATATGTATTCAGTTACCGCCTTTTTGTTCTGTTTTGTAAAAAATTTGTTGCAATACTTTGTTTTGAGAATCACATGTTGTGTCAAACATATAATAATGAGCAATGCCATAAATAATAGTATGAACAATTTAGCGATAGCATGACATGGAGAGTAGCTTATGCGAAAAATATCACGAATTTGCAGTGCTTATCAGCACTAGAGCTTGAAGTCTCTTCTTACACAAGGACTCCGACCTAATTTGAGAATGGAGGTTGCAGATATATTTTTGAGTAGCGGTCCACTCAAAATGGTGTACACGACGTAGACGGACTTTATGTCATAAGAGGTGCTTAGCACGGCACACAAGAACGTGATCTAGTATGTACGCTTGATTAAGTGCCTGAACCTAGCCTTTGGCCACTTTTCGGAAAATTTCATCATGAAAAATGATAGGCTTCTGCGTGGGATATTTTGACAAGGTTAGTTTCTTAAAGTCTTTTTACTATAACAGCCCAATGTGGCCAAAGCTGTTCAAATCTCATACTTTTCACACAGTTTTCTAGGTGCAGTCACATGAAAATTATTCATCATATTTGTTTCTTAAATTAACTCCCTAAAACGTTGAGGCATTGTTCATACCTAGTCTTTTTTGCGTTGATAGAGAGATCTGTATGGGGCTGGGAAGCTGGAATAGTTAACTCACATGTGAAGATCATCAACTTAGATGATTTGTGTCGAATGATTAAGAGCGTACTCGAGGTAAACGGCAGTGGTGTGACGATCTAGCCAACTTTGAAGTCGCACCTCACAGTCAGCACCTAACGTGGATTGCCCTTTTATCGTATCGAGATAGTACGGATGCTTTGAAGGCCGCACAACACAAGGAACGTCACTAAAAGCGTGGGTCAGGCCATGGTGTGCTATTAATTGACACGCGTTGGTTGTTCTTGAACTTGACGAGAATCGGTGAATTATTCGACATTCGGTGACTCAACTGTCGGATGATTTGACCAGGGCCCATTGACAGTTCACTGGTCACACACATATTCAGAGCCCTCTTTGTTTGGCTTCTTCTCCGAGTTCGTAGTTTTTAATTTTTGAGCTTTGCTTAAGTCTATGTATTTTTTATCCGCCATGTTATATGTGTCCACCTTGATAGTTTCGCTCTAGTCTAAAGGTCAGCTCATGCTGTTACTCGATTGTTCTTCGAGATTCGAAAGTTACCCATCTGTCGCTGACTGTCTATCTTAGGGAATCTATCTGGCTTCGTTAATCGAGGCAATCGCCTGCAAAATCAGCAGACATGTAAAGCAACATGGTTTGGACAGCCAATATAGTAGTGGCTTATAATACCTCTTTATGCAGTCGGTGTGAGTCCGATGCACTCGTCTTGACACCGATTGCTGCAGTTGTCGCATCGCATTCTTTAATTCATAGGAAGGAAGCATATTTTGTTTGCGCCATTAAATTTGTTAGGTCAGAAGCGGAAATAACAAAGTAGAAGCTACGGGTTCTCGCGCACGTGTTACGTGTTGTCGAGGTCTTTAAATATCGTTAGTTAGCAGCTGTTAACAGCATTTTTCTATCACACGTCAATTTTCGTAATGTTTGTTCGTTTTACATAGCTTTTATTCCAGTTAATTAGTGATTTGACACCCAACAATCCCATAACGACTGAAATATGGAATGTCCGCCTCTTGTCAGACCGTTCAAGGTCGTTGGAACAAAGCGGCGGGCGACTTTGAAAAGGCCTGACTTTTCTCCGTACATGAGTAAACTGTCACCCGTCACATGGTAGACATTGAACAGAAAAGGCTAAAACGCCTGTTAATTTAACTCAAAGTCCAGCGCAAATAAGTCTAAAAGAAACCTTTTAACTTTAGGACAGTCAAAACGAAGAGATTTACATGACAAGGGTAGGGTTTGGGGGCCACGTGTTATTCCTCTTGTATGTAAATGATCTTCCTCGCCTAATATCATCATCGGTCTCGCTTTATACTGACGATTTCAAGATATGGGAAGCGATCCGAAGTAAGGGTGATAGCTTAGAACTCCAAAATGACCTGGAGAAATAATCTGAATGGTCTAGACCTGGCAGTTGCCAATAAATACTTCCAAGTGTGTTGTGATGCATATCGGTCATCAAGTTACAGATACATACACGATGGATAACACTGAGCTACCTGTTGTCCACATGACCTAGGAGTCATCCTTAGCCAAGACTTAAAGACTACTACAGACTGCCGTGCAATAGCTGCCAAAGGTTTTTAAACTTTATTGACAGATAGTTCCCATTTAAAATTAAAACACGGATTTCAGCGAAGGGACCTCTTTTCAACGAATTTATCATCAAGCTGTACAATCGTATATGTATGAAAATTTATTAACTGTGTTCACATTTCCTCACGGAATTAGTACTTTTACGAAAACAAAATTTTCATATATGTACGATTGTACAGCTTGATAATAAATTTGTTGAAAAGAGATCCTTTCGCTGAAATTCGTGTTTTAATTTTAAAACTTTATGGTCAATACGTAGGGCTTTTAATCATGTCGACGCTAAAACGTTTTTGACTTTGTATACAGTGTTCGTACGTCCTAAACTTGAGTACTGCAGACAAGCGGATAGCCCCTGCTTAAAAAAAGACAGTCAACTTTCGGAAAAGGTCCATAGAACAGCAACTAAGCTGATTCCCGGAATAGCGAAGCTCTCGTATGATGCTCGACTGGTGAAGCTAAACCTATTCCCATTGTTATATTGAAGAATTAGGGGCGACTTGATTACAGTTTTCAAATTGCTTAGTGATAAATTTGCACCTGATATGCCCTCATTTTGCTTGTCTTCCAAAACAGAGAATTTACGAGGACACTCCAAAAAGTTCATAAGCTCAGGACAAATTACTTGTCAGTTGACTATCGACTTTCCCATCGAATCACCAACGAGTGGAATTCATTACCTCAGCACGTGGTTGGGGCTCCATTCGTCAACTCTTTCAAAAGGAAGTTGGATCAACTGAGAGACCACCATTGCCAGGACTAACACAGGCTATCAAGCCTCCTGTCCTTAACAAACTGAAACTGAAACGAGGAGAAATACCATTCCCAGTTTAAAGTGCAATAATCCTAGGACCGGGTTGAACTATCTGATTCTATTTTGCATTGTGATCTAGGTCTTGTGTTATTTTTGGTTTTTGTTTGTTGCTTGCCTCAACAAATTCAAGTGTATTGTGTGCTTCTGCTGGGTCATCGAGTCGTCCTTCACCATTGTTCTCTTTTCAAGCACTCCACTCATGCTGCTGTGCATGCTCCCCTGGTGCTCAAGATACTTGGCTAGACTCGACCTGCTACATTCGTGGCGGGCATGTAAGGGCCTTACTGGTTAGAAGTCTATGATGCGGTGCAGACTTATTACGAGCCCTAATTAAGGCACTACAAACACTTAAACAGTGCTTTGTCAAAAGTGCTAGTTATGTAGAGGATTAAACTGTCTGAAAATTCTCCACCTATATTTTTACTTAGATTTATCATACTGCCGAAAAACAGCAAAAACTTGGAGTTTTGGTTTCTTTGTAGGTACAGAGTTTTTGAGCTGGAACTATGTTACAAAAGGACTAAACAGACTTGAGACACTGTATATAGACTCAAGACCTGGTTTCAGTTCCTTACCTTGATTCAAACTCGAATTTCTAAACATGTACCTTTCCCGTTTAATGTTAAAAATAACTCATATGAAAAGGTTCGTTACTCATCATGAAAAGACTTATCTCTTGTAAGTTTACCACTTAAAAATCGCAAATTGTTTCATAGAAACAAAGTTTTGCGACTGACTAACATACTACTCAAGTTTATTTGAAATTTTCAATGTCCTCTATAGACTACTTCCGTAAACGTACCCCTTTTTCTAAGCCTAACTCACATGGAGCAGGTTCGTGATTCATCTTCGATTTCTCTAGCCCTTGTAATCTTAACACTTGCCGACAGATCTGTTTGCTTAGTCTGACTTCGAAGATGTAGTAATCTGGAATACTGTAATAGATCCACACGGCTGGTTCGTCGCCTGTCTAAAAGTAAATAAAAGACAAAAACCAAGATTAGGAACATGTTTATCGATTCAAAATCAGCAAGTATTTGCTACTTTAAGCTTTAGGTTTTCAGTCTAGAAACTGCATTTCGAGCTGAAAAGCCACTGGTTCGTAACCTGCATATCCACTTTACCTTAATCAACCAGGTCGCATCTCTATAAAGATACAGATAAAAACTTCACACAAGTAGTAATTAAAACCTAAATAAACCTGTTCTTTTCCAACAAGCAAAAGTAAAGTAAATCAGAGTAGCCATATTGTTTTTCTAGATTCTTATTTTAAAGTGGCTAATATCATAAGTTGAGATCTATGATCGGTGTTTGCTTTAGGTGTCCGGATAGCACAGGTAACTCGGATGAAATATCGCTCACATACGCGTATGTTGACTTTTGATTGTATGCTTTGAAATATTATTGTCTTTCATTTATCTTAAACCAGGGTAGTGTCCTATTTCTTCGTAACAGTAAGCCTAAATTGTAAACTAGATGCGTATGCAAATTATTGTAATTAATATTATCGGTAACTAGCGTATGGGATCCAATGACCTGATTAATATTGTCTTTCAGGTTTGTAAAACAATGCAAAATGAGATCAGGTTTGCTCTTAATTTCATTCACAACTGTAAAAAAGCAACAGGAAAAAGATTGTGGGTAATGTCGAATTATTCATCGGAACACGTAAATCTTATTATAGCACCACTATTTTTGTCAGCGTAATTTTGCCAGTGTTCTTGGTATAGAAACGAGCTGTGACGATACAGGTGCAGCTGTTATAGAAACATCAGGAAAACTACTTGGAGATTGTCTATCTTCTCAAGCGAGGATTAGTGTTATGTAACGAAAAGAATCATTAATCATTAAATATTTTTGAAGGTTAGGTGGTGTAGTACCGTCCGTAGCAGCTGAACTTCACAAGGAAAACATTGAATCAGTTGTAAATACTGCTATGGCCAAATCCAACATTGGGTTCCGGGTATTTTTTGTTCATGGTTATTTTTTAATTGATCTATCTTTTGCTCTAGGATTTAAATTTTGTTGCAGTTACAGTAAAACCAGGTATGCCACTATCTCTAAAGATTGGAGTTAGTTTCGCTAAATCTTTAGCAAGTCGATTAAAGTAGTTTTAATTTCTTTGTTGACGAATTATTTATTTGTAAAAGGATTCCTATCATACCGATTGATCATATGGAGGCTCATGCACTGACAGCTCTGTTTACAGATCCTCAGTAAGCAAAAATTTTCTGTGCAAATGAATCATAGTTTATGTACGGAAATAGCGTATTTAACATTTCCAGTTGCTCTCGTGTGAAACCAAAAATCCTAGAAGTTAATTATTACTTATTGTTAAATGTAATAAGTATAGTCTGAGCATAATTTGATCAGCGATGTGTAATTTCTATTCTCTCTGTGAATTACTAAACAAGATATCTAATTAAATGCTTCAACATGATATTTAGAAGTATCGTTGGTCATAAATTTATGATGCAACAAAACCTTTAGAAAGATACTGTAAAAAACTGCCACCTCTGATGTTTACTCAAATTATAAGTCAGTTTTTTTCTTATTTGAAACTAAGCATATCATGAGCTTTTTGATTTAGATCATGAAGTGATTGATGTTAGACCACCATTAAAAACCTGGAAGCACTGAACAGCCGTTTCGTCCTATTGTGGGACTCTTCAGCAGTGCGCATCCACGATCCCGCTCGCACTTATGATTATCAAGGCTGCTAGGACATGCTATCTTTCGTTCTCAAGCAAAATATTTTGTAGAATAATGGAATAATGTATATTTAAAGGTTTTCTAAATAACTGATTTAGAGCAAATAGTATTTATCTCATTGTTTCATGACGTTTATAAATTCTTTTTTAAAAAAACGTCTTAGGTTGAAATTTCCCTATATGATCCTCTTAATAAGTGGTGGCCACAGTATTTTGGGCATTGTTCAAGGGCTAGAGGATTACGTTTTATTAGGTACAGCATTAGATGCCTCTCCAGGCGATATTCTTGATAAGGTGAGTTAAATATGTTTGTCTGATTTTACTTTCATATCTTAACTTATATATTTTATCGATTGCGGCTTTATATTTTCAAAAAATGAGTAACTAAATTTAGTTTTTGATACTGCCTAAATCGAGGGGTTCAGGTTACCACTGACAAGCTGGCGAACTGAAAACCTGTATTACACTCCAAATTCACTTACTGCATATCAGCATTGTAAAGAGCACTGAAGTAATGTTACTGGTAGTATGTGACGTTTAAGTCTTCTCCGTTTGACTCTACCATATATCCCGCTGAGTAGTATTATCTCACTTGAGATTATTCAAAAGCCAAAACACCAGTTGTTGGGAAAGTGTATTGTCGGTAATTAAACCCACAAGTACCCAAGACACAAAGCACATTGGGAAGTAGTAAGTGCGTGTGTAATCAAAATGTAGGATTGTTCATATGTATTTTATGAGTGTTGATCAATTGTAGGCAAGTTACTAATTTCTTTTCAATTAGTTTTTCATCATGGCTCTACACTAATATATATATATATATATATATATATATATATATATATATATATATATATGGTGAATCAGTTGAGTAGGTTGTGAATCTTCATCGACTGGGATGGTTGTACCGCGTGTTACGTATGCTTGACCACCGTTTACCACGACGCATAATGCTGACTAGTGTTGGAGACGGCTGGAAGAAAGTTAGGGCGGCCAAACCGAAACGTGGCATCAGCCTTTGAAGTCACTAACTTCTCGTCTGGGCCATATCAGTAAATGTAGACTACTTGGTTGGGCTCCGCGTGACTATTGTAACAAATGGTTAGAGATTCTTGGTGACATGGTTCAGAATCGATCACAATGTCGTAGGTGTATACACTCTGTCTTCCCTTAAACTAAGAGATTAAAATTGCTTCATATCTTTCTTTCTACGGACTAATTCTTTCTTCCTGTACTATATCCTTATATATTACCACGATTGAAGTAACTACTTCTATAAATTCGGTGTTGATTTTGTCGTGCTAATGAAGTATGGCAACTTGGACCGATGCATATATGTGCCTGGTCCTACGTTGTAGCTGACTGACTGAATTTCTCGAAAAGCATTTTTAGATGAATTTGATGTTCACTTATCTTTACTGACTATGAGTAAGTCGTTTATTTAAGTTTATTACTCGATCAATAAAACTCTGGAAACTTTGTCCAGGATTTCTGAGTTCCAAAGACATGCGGACAAATTTGTATAGCCGGAATGGAGCAGTAATAGCGGTTTTCGAAATGTGGTCTGGGTGGATTGGAATGTAATGATATGCATGAACGAGATCAACCTTTGAGAAAGTTGTTACATCAGATAGACTATGAGTAGTCATGTAAGTTTGGAGGAGGGTATCTTTCTGGCATCGTCCAGCTGTTAAGAACTCTATGGTGGCCGCAAGGTCGGAAGAGTTCTTCTTAGGTATCACATGGGGCGGTGATGTCCAGGGACTACTGGGGGGACTTATTGAACCCAACTCTATCATCTTGTTGAATTCGTTCTTTACGAGAGCGGTCAAGGAGATGCAGACACTGGTAGTCCCTCTGTCTTAATATGGTGTACGACAGTATCTGTCGGTTTGTTGCGTTTGGAAGTCGTTTGTAACAAATCAGGAAAGTGATTGAGAAAATTGGTATATTCATCATTCTCGCGATGAGGTTTGATTGATGTCTCGTGATATAAGTCTTCTAATTTCATCGTTATGATTTGTAGATACAAGTTTCCGGTTTCCAACATCTACGAGTATTTTTCGGAATTGTAAAATATCGACACCGATTATGGGAACTTAGACGTTAGCTAAGTTCCATAAGAAATTTAATTTGAGACCAAAATGTAACCATAGCTGCCTGTTACTGTATGTCTTGATTTCCGTCCTGTTTGCAACTTGTGGTTATAGTTTGGGGTCAGGTGTGATTTTCTCAAGTGTAGTATATGGTACTACATCGAAATTTGCCCCAGTGCTGATTAAGAACTGTGTTCTGGTTCTTTTATCTGAGACGTATAACAAACGACTTCCTTGAGAGTTGGGGCGATGACAACAATCGTCGGTTTTAACGTTTCCCTACCGTGTGTCCACAAAGTTACAAGGACGGGTACATTCTTTCTCTTGATCGCCATAATTTCTGTGACACCAACATATGTTCTTGGCTGCTCCTTGGACTACGGGGTGCACGGCTTCTGGTTCTCCGTCTACACCTGCAGCAAGGCGTATTTCAATTATGAAGCTGAGCCATCTGATTGACGAGGACTTTGGCTGTTTGTCTCAACTCTGTGATCTCGTTGGTTGAGTCTGTGTATGATACGGAGTGGATCTTAGTCTGCTCGTGTATTTTATCGGTTATATCTACTAGTCTATCGAAATCGACGTTTTCGTCTTCAATCGCTAATATTTGTTGAATATGTTGAGGAAGACGTTGAAGTCATAACTGATATAACAGGCATTTATCCAAAAGACGATTACGCAATATAATTGTGTTGCGTCTTAAGTATGACGGTTTACTATCAGCTTGTCTTAAACTATCGTATGGTGCTTTTAGATCTGAGTCGCACCCTCTCTATAACCAAGTCCATAGAGTCCCAAAGGAACATGTGTTAGTCCCATGCGGCTGTCTTTTATACTACGACACGATATCATACTCTAACTCCCTACCCCCTTTTTCAATCAATCCTAGCACAATAGTGGACAATCTATAATTCACTGGGATGACTTTTGTGATGCATAATTACACCGCCGACACCAGTGTTTCGAGATCATGACACTAAATGAATTATCGTCTCACAGATACTGACCGTTGTAGCTTGGTAAAATACTGTTATTACTATTTATTACATCCTGTGGGTAAAACTGATTACTTACCCTCATATAACTAAACATGGATTAATACGACTCGATATAAGGATTGCTAGACTAGAAAATCTATGTATACTCGACTTGTCGACGCACTACAGTTTCTGCTACTGATTCACTACCAGTTCAATAAATATGTTAAAATACACTGAGTAATATGTCATTTGCTTATCTGATCATTTGTTATATTTAACACATAGCATTAATTAGTGGCACGATACAGATATCCAATTTTTATCAATATATCAAACTTCATTAACTGATAATTATAAATAAGTTACCGAGTTCTTTATTTTCATTCTCCCCAACACTGGTAGGTTACTGAACAAATTGATCAAGATTATGGTGCTAACTCAACCATATACATATCGTAGAGGCAATATGTTACTGCTCAAAAGTTTTAAGTCACTAGGCGAAAAATAATCTCAGTTTGTACATTTTCTGGATATTTGTTCAGTGCATTTCAACAAATTTAGACTTAAGATCAAGCCATCTAAGTAGTATAGGCTGAATTGTAAAAAGCTTTCGTAAAGTTGTTGATTGTTTTCACTAACCAAATATAATGCCCATTAATACGTGCGTTACGTTGTTGTTGCTGTTGTCGTCGTCAGTGCCTCAAAATGGAACGATCCGTGTATTTCTTGCATTTACAGATTTCTAGGCGTCTAAAACTAAATCGTTTGTCAGATGAGTGTTTGAAAGGCGTCGCAGGTGGTAAGGCTATCGAAATAATTGCAAAGACTTATAATGGTGATCATCAACGATTCAACCTACCTTTACCACGTTCACAATCTAAGGATTGTGATTTCTCATTTAGTGGAATCCATATGGCTGCAGAACAGTTGATCAATAAATTGGAATCTGAAAATCATGGTACGTGAGTGGTTTGTTAAACAAATATATATTACTTTTTATTGATCTACTTTACCATACTTCCGTTAAGAAAGTTCTAGCAAAGTATTTATCTTTATGAGTAATATCGCTCAAAATAAAAAAAAGAAAAGACGAACGAGGTCGTTGACTTTATTTACATCTCACTTCACTGAATATCATAAGATATAATTAGGCTTGTTAAAAACTAAATATTCGTTATAGTTATTGTAATATATATATATTTCCCAACATGAAACAATGAAAAATTGGACTTAAACTTTGTTTTAAAATCTTGTACTTCCGAAGTTTTACTAACTACCATTTCATTCTTTTCATAGACAAATAAGTGTATTTATTTATTTGAACATATAAATATTGGTACAAAGGGGCACCGAATAGATATGCGCCACACAAGTTACTTGATTTATGTGTAGACTGTGATACTTCCCAGGTGCCCAGACCGAAGCAGGTGAATTTCTTAGGGGGTCACGCCTGGAGCCTTTGACTTAAAGGTCCGATCCACAAGGCAGTAGAGCAACGTCAGGAGATACAACCCGATTGTAGCTGGTGACCAACAGTGTTTTCATACGCTTTTCGTTTACTCAGGATCCTGGAGCCCATGTGCATATATATATATATATATATATATATATATATATATATATATAATAAAAGCTCAATGCTGTCACTACTACGAGTAGTTTACTTACTAACCTGTTCTATCTCTATGTACCACTGATGATAAAGGATATTTTTAAGTATTGTTATATGGATAAAATTCATTCTATCATTCTAAGAGATGATCCTTCTATTAATAAGCGCTTAATCAATTATACAGACTAGATGTAGTACTGAGTTTAATAAATCAGTTCTAGAGTTATTTTATGTAGGAAAAAATAAAACTTTAGTTTACTTCTCATAAAGTTCATGCTTGAAATGTGTTTATTCATTGCTGATTGATCTGAGTGCTAAGCTTCTAAGAATTCTCTGGTGCTTTTAGTATTTCCAATATTTCAACATTTTCCCAATCGATTGTGTGTCCACATTTATTCACATGAATTGATGCCCCCAATTGCCCTGGCACGGCCAAGAATGGGGAGAGACAGCTCTCTCTCTCCAAATGCTCTCACATGGCCACATGCATACAACCATTACCAGGGAAGTCCTACTCACTGCCTTCTTGCAATGGGGTGTTGTTTACGAAATTGAGAGGACAAGGAGCGGATTCCGGCGCTTTAACCGGGTTGGCAGATACAAAGAGTCCACCTAGGGGAGTTGGAAAACCCTGATTTCAAACCAATGGTGCACATGGGCTCCAGTATCCCGAGGGAACAAATGGCGTATAAACCAATCGTTGGTCATTGGCTACCATGGGAGTGCATCTCCTGACGTTGTTCCACTGCCTTGTGGATTGGACCTTCAGGTCGAAGACTCCGGGTGTGGCCTCCTAAGAAAACCAACTGCTTCGCTTTGGGCACCCATGCAGTGTCCCAACCCTCACATAAATTGACTGATTTATGTGGGGCATATCTATTTGGTGCCTCCTTGTACCAATGTTTATGTTTAAATGAATAAATAAACATGCATTGATTTAAGCGAGGATATGTCATGGCGTTTGACCACCAACTGACATTCAAACAGGGAAAGATAAAGAGAGCATCGACGTTGTCCGATATAGTGTTTTTTGCTATTGTAGCAGCTGATTTTATGGTTGATGTTAAGTTTTCCTTCTGTAGTCGTTTCGTCCTTTGGTTTGTGTAGGACTGATTGAAGTGTTCATCTAGACACGCATAAATCAAGTGATCATATTATGTAAAATACGTGGAGCGGTAGCTAGCTTTCCGCTACTAGACTGTATATTCGGACCCCACCCTATCTACTTTGGTTTGGACAACTGGCTAGGGTTACTAGCTACTCAGAACGAAGCTTGAAGTCTCAAATCTGGTACATGGTAATTGAGTATGCACAATACAAGGCCACAAATAATAAACCCCATGAAACAAAACTAGAATCCTCTTGATGTAAAACTGAGTAACATATTCATAGTTACTGGATTGGAATGTGATCGGTTAAGGAAATAATTGAACAACATTCTACAATTAAGTCTCTTTAAAAACGCTATAAAACAACTGTTCGGTTGGTACCTATTTTAAATAAGGATGCAAATCTGTTACCAGAGAATATTTCCTCCTTACTATTATTATTTGTTTTCCATCATCTTGGTGACATTTTTACTGTATTGGGTTTCTTTCGGTTATGCAAATTCTAGGTAATGGATGCACTTTATCGACCCAAGATATTGCTGATGTTTGTGCATCTGTACAGTTCTGTATGACAAGATTAATCTGTCGGCGTGTTCAGCGTGCTATTGAATACTGTTTGTTGAACACTGATTCCAGAGCCAGTGTAATTAGAAATCATCCTACAGCTTTGGTAAGACATGTGTTTCATTATACCATCAATTGTGTTTGTTTTATAGTCATCATTATTTCCTTATGCCCGATTAATTTACATAACGTGGTACGGCCGCCAATCAATGCCACCGACTTATACGACCAGACTAATGACGCATAAACTAGTGCGAGCAGCCTAGAGTTCCTGTTGATCCTATATGATGGTAGCTTCTCTCCTAACCCAGTCGGTTCAGGTCAGAATGTCATTATCAGCCTTCGCTAGACGAATCATACATTTCACACATACTAGTTTTATATATAAGCCAAACAAACCACATCACACCATAAGTAAAAATAACAATTATAAAAGATCAAGCCAAAAACTAGCTGTGATTGTGAGATACTGTAACTAATAAGTTGGGAATATCTTAAGAATGGTAAATTACATAATAGTAGTCAAATAAAAGGTTATAATAAAATGAATATGAATATACATATAATATAGTTACTTACTAGTAGTTATACAGTAAGAATATATATAATAACAGTCCATAAATAGATCCTAGCCGTTACTATTCACTTATTCGTCGCCCGGATATAACAGTCATCACCGTTTTTTTTTGCAGTATTGGTGAATAACAAGTTTTTCGGTCTGAAAATTTTAGGTTTCACTTAATTGTTGGAATGTTATGATTCTTTTAATTCATTCCAAAAAATTATGCACCATGAACCAACCAGTTACTTAGTAATTTTCTGTATATGATTTAAGAAATTAACTTTTGTTTGTGAGTCTTATGTTGGTTAGGTGGGTAAACGTAATTCGATGGTGATCTTCCTCATATAAATTGTTTTTTAACTAGATCAATGGTACAGAACTGATTTTCGGCATTACAACTCTGTTTTCCACAATGCTTTCGTTGCTAATTCGCAATTCGTACACCAACGGAATAGAAGCTCTAGTTGGGTGTCTAAATGTGGCCAGTACAGATACCTTCGTGTTAGCGCTTTCATCCGATTGTTTACAATATGTTCTGCGCGCAACTGTTCAACTGCTGGTTGCAGCTTCTTTGGAATTATGACACGTTTGGCAAATGGAAGGCAGTCATCAATGATTGAGAGAGATAGCTTGCGCTGGCAAAGCAGCTGTAGTTCTGTGGAGTTAATCTTTGATGATCATCCTTCTAGGTGGAACTTTCTAACTTCTTATAGGATTGGGTTTTAAAGGGTTTCTTCTATGACTTCATCTGATAACATTGGAGTGTTTTGAATGGCATCTACTACTTTACGCCTTGTTTTTGGATTTAAAGCAACGGAAACATGAATAGCTTAGTTTGTCCCGTTGTTCTGTTGCTAATTTATCAGAGGAATATATATATATATATATATATATTCTTTAACTGCTCTATAGGGTCGTCATTGAGAAATGGAGTTTACAATCCTTTTATCATGTTTGTTATAGCCTGCTGGTTCAAAAAGAACCCATCCTAACACTGTCCTAATAACATAAGGACTCTTTCTTCAGTCCGTCCGTTGATCCAGGATACAATGGGTCCAGGACGTACCTGAAGCCCAGATAAGCTTCGGTATTTTTCCAAATTCCCTATTCCTTAAGAGCGAAAGACCTTCAATCCAGGTCTTTAAATCTAATTCCTTGTGTGTACCTCGTGACAGCACTAGCACTCAGGTGCTGGTGGTCCCAACCAATATGCGACCTACAAAGGTTCTGTAAGAGTTGCCCGGCAGGGAATTATATTGGGGCAATTAGGTCTAGTGGGTCGAACAGAGATGAAACGGTGAATAGAATTCCTCTCCTTTTTAGAGGGTTTTCCTCTGGTTCAAATCGAAATTTAGAAACATCGTGTATAGTGTCCCACTCAATCCGAAGGGCTCGATGAGTGGACAGTTGATTCAAAGGCATATTCACTATCGTTTCCATACTATCGGATTGCGGAAAAACTTGTCTTACCAGTTCTAAGTTAATTAACTCCCTCGATTTGTTGCCGTTCCTATCGTAGGTTGAAGGTATCCAACATATTTTCGAGCGAAAGATTGCTGTTTCTATTTGTGCGATCTGGGTCTAAAAGTTTTTACGTATCTTGTTCTGGTGTCTAGTTCACTTGTCTCTTCCCTCCTCTACTTCATATATGACTTTGCTTAGACCTCAAAGATGCTTCAGTCGAGGGATCATTGTTTAGTCCGTAGTCATGAACGAACGCCAAACACTCAACTATTAACCTTGAAGTTGCAATTTCTTTCCGTCTGTTTAGAAAACAGACGATGTATATAAAGTATGGTTTCCTAATCTCATTTATCTTCCTTTTTATGGAGGTATCATCCGAACCAATCACATGTGAATTTTGTGCTTGAAATCATATCAGCATTTGCAAGTTAGTGGCTGATAACATTTCAGCAGGTATTCGAAAAGTTGATTGAGTGTTTTCTAACATCCACTATTTATGACATTTAGACTTTTGAATATAAAGAACATTTGTAGGTTTATAATATTTGATTATAATTTTTACATAACATTAATCGTATGCTGTAGAACAACGAATTAAGTGATACAAACGGTAAACGCAGATACCTGTTGATCAGATTATAAATTTTCGTCCCCTGAAGTAGCTGGGACGTATGTCTAAGAAACGCCTACCTCGATGCGCAGTGCTGATTAGCGTAAAAGTGGGCTAAAACCCAGAAACACTCGAATTAGTATAAGGTGTCAATTAATGAAGTTACTATCAATCTGAGTCGTTCTGCTATGTTTAGATTCTCATATTGAGGTATTTACAATAGTCGTTATCAGAATTTAATCAATATGGGTTTCAGTAGGGTAGTTGAAATTGTTCTTTTCCAGATTTTAAATTCTAAGTTTCAACATTAATTTATACCTTTTATTCTCTTTTCATGTTTAGTCGTTATTTCACCATAATATACACTAATATTCAACCCGTTTATAGTGCATCATGTTGATTTTACCTTGATATGCTGATGTAGTGAAAACGAATAGTCTTTATTAGTGATTAGATTTGTCTTGATATTTTATTGTGCACATGTTTTTCCTAATATTCAAATCCAATTAATAATTTTGTTTAGGTTGTTTCTGGTGGGGTTGGTTCTAATTGTGTTATTCGTGCCGGTTTAACTGAGGTAGCTAATTATTATAATTTGAGATTTGTGGCTCCTCCATCAAGTCTATGTACTGATAATGGAATTATGATAGCATGGTAAGTCAAAAGTTTATGTCTATAAACGTTAAGTATTTAAAAAGTTTCTTTCTTCAAGGCTACTTAATAGATTTATACTATCTTATCATTATGTAACAGTTGTAAATAGTAATTAAACATGTCAGATTGATTTCTTCATGACTAGATGGCGGTTTAACGCGATTGGAAAAATGTCCTGAATGTGTTTCATGTTTGCATTCACTAGCGAAGTTCACCTGAAATCTGTGGAGAAATAATTCTAACTTATCCACCCCAATGCCGTAGTTTGAGATGTTCCCACTTAGATATTTGGGGTGTGACTGAGATGTCTACTAATCGGCCTCTAAGTAATCATCAGCGTAAACTAACGATAAGGGTCTTAACTGGGATAGTGATGACGTGAAGTTGAGTTCTACGAAAGCACCAGTTTTTACAAATCACTGATATGCTGTTCTAATGATTACAAACCAGGATAATACTTATATTCAAGGTGTCTTGGTACTTGTTTCCAATCATTATTTAAGCAAGGTGTATCACATTGTCTAGTTAATTAGCCTTTTTTGAACGACATTGGTACCTAATCGTTCATCACAAAGAACTAAACAACATCAAACTGGTAGGTGCAAAGTTACATATTTGTGTTGTCATTGTCATTTTTCATCGGGACAATCTGTAGAAAAAGGTCCTAACTTGCTACTCAATTGTGTTAAAAAAAGGTACATGTAACCAATTCAACCAGAGAACTAGTGCATTGTTGCTTTCCGAGCTTCATGGAATCTATTCGTAACTTTTATAGTATCATTGAATTAGGCTAGGGAAAAGAATCAAAGTCCTCCAAAATTATGCAGTCAGAAGAAATATTTCGGAAGGGATACAAATGAAAACTTGTGTACAGTAGGGGCTATAGCTGTTTACCAATTCAAGCTAACCCTTAATTTAAAAAACTGTCCAATCCATCGTTCTGCCATGGACGCAACTTTACTTTCTATCTCCTATAATCTGTCGCTTTCTTCTACTCCTTTATAGTTATTTTTCTCAACTATTAATAAACCATTACTGCTACATCTACTTGTCCTTTTCGTGATACTTATCAAGTGGACAATTATCTTCATCTCAACATTTTTCCGTTAGCAGTTGGATTATAACACAATTTCCTCTCAATATCTGATGCATGTCAATAATTTCTAACACCATTTTACTATGGACTACTAGTTTTGGTAAGCAAAGTAAATATAAGTTCGATTGAACAAGTTTAGCAAATGAAATCCCTGAAAAGAAAATTATCTTTATTCCTCTCTAATGACTGTGTCTTTCCCTTTCGTTATTTGATCATAAAATAACCGGTAGATATTCATTACTGTTCCTCTTAACAGATCAGTCATCAGTAAAAGATGAGAGATTTATAAATAAAAATAAAGAAGGGTAACGGGTATCATTTGGTACAATGCATCACAATATATTGATAGAAAACCTGTTTTAATTGAATTAATCATATCCCTATAAAATCATCCCTAAAACCCCATTTAAATGAATTATTGATGATAGAACCACTAGCTTAAGTCAATTGTTTGCATTATGTTGATTTATCCAAATAGCAAGTCGTTGATTAATAATAAAAGTAATATATCACATGGCAACTAATGATTTTTTTCCATTTAAATATCTATTCTCCTAAATACACTATTTGATTACTGGTCTCAATTAATTGTGTATTGCCCTCTTTCATTACTAATAAGGAATGGAGTTTTACTTCAAAAAGAAAATTCTTCTCGTATTACGGAAGATATCTGTTCTGTTGATTTTTGTCCAAGGTTAAGTTGATTCGTTTTTATTTTGTAGATTTTCATGTAAATTAATTGTAATCTCAGAAATGTAAATAATATTTTCAGTGGAAAACATAAATTTCAAAGATTTTTCACTCTTTTCAAAGAGGCCAAAATAAGACAAGCATCAACGAATTTGAAAGTATTATATGTTAAAAATGGTGAACGGTTGCATGTGTTATAATATAATTCACTTGAACTACGAGGATTTTGTGTACTTGATGATGATAGGCACTCGAAACAAATTATACTTATCTGTCGATGAAAGTCGTATTTGTTTTTTCTCAAAGTGATAAATCGAACCCATGTGTTATTTGTAAACAGTATATATGTGCGATAACTGTTTCTGACATAGTAATCAGTCAAATGTAAATGCCTTAAATAATCGATAGATTTATATGTCCCCCCAAACTTACATAATTCGCATTTATGCATCCATGGAGAATCACAATGATGGGAAGCAACAGTTGTATGAATTACAGTCAACGACATAAATCGAACAATACAAACAGTAGACATGGAAGTGTTATGACTCACAATGTAGAAAACGTTAACGAATATATATGAGTGATTGTTGTCTATTTTTATTCATGCCATCTAAGATCTCGAAGTGTTGTCGTAGAAAATTCAAATTAACAAATTTACGCTTAACAATTAGGGATTTAAATGAATTATTGACGTCACATGTTGGTTCGACTTCTCCAATGTTTAATTCCAATTCGATTCTCTACTACATAGTCTTTATTGTGTTGAAAGCATTTGTAATATATTTCTTAGTGAGTGAATATTCGTAAACTCATTAGACTTATTCATCATCGTTACTTCATCATAGACCTACTGATGGAAATAACATTCTCGTCGACTGAATTCTCGGGTATTGATCTCCTACCAGGAGGTCCACTTATCCACTTAGAATACGCAGATGACATAGTCCTGTTTTGTGAAGACGCTGACAAAATGCAGAGCCTTTTGGTAGCACTAAGCAACAATGCCAGAATGTTTGGAATGCGCTTCTCTCCCTCTAAATGCAAGTTGTTGCTTCAGGACTGACCTGCGTCAACATCTGAACTAGGGATAGGGAGTTTAGTCGAACGCGTCAACAACTTCACTTATCTTGGAAGTCTGATCAGCCCTAATGGGATGGTATTAGACGAAACTCAGCACGGATTCGAAAAGCTCGTTTGGCTTTTGCCAACTTACGTCACCTTTGGCGAAGGCGGGATATCCGTCTATCAATAAAAGGACGAGTATACTGCGCGGCAGTCCGTCCTGTTTGACTTTACGGCAGCGAAACATGGTCTTTAAGAGTACAAGACACCCGTAAGCCACTAGTATTCGACCACATATGCCTTAGAAATATTGCTGGCGTCTGTTGGGATCACCGGGTAAGTAATAGTGAGGTTAGACGCAGGGTAATAGGGAATGATTGTAAATCAGTTGATGAGGTCATGAATCTTCATCGACTGAGATGGTTGGGCCACGTGTTACGTACGCCTGAAAACCGATTACCACGTCGTGCAATGCCAAAGGGTGTTAGAGATAGTTGAAAGAAAGGGGCGGCCAAAACAAAACGTGGCATCAGTGCTTGAAGACATTAACCTCTAGTCTGAGCCATGTAAGTAGATGCAGACTACTTGGTTGGGGTCCGCGCGACTTTCGTAACCGATGGTTGGAGACTTGGTGACATGGCTCAGAATTGTTCACAATGGCGTAGGTGTATACACTTCGTATCTGTCTTCCTACTAACTAATTCTTTCTCTCTGTAATGTATCCTTTTATGCAATCTGTCTCCTATATATTACCACCGTTGACCTAACCACTCTTATGAATCCGGTGTTCATCTTGCTGTGCTAATGCGGTATGGTAACCTGGACCGATACATATATGTGCCTGGTCCTACGTTGTAGCTGACTGAGTAGTTCCATCATAAACAAGCATTAATTCAAATACATCTATGATATTTTAGTGAAGTTTTGTTCTCTGAGCTGGATGGTTGTCAATAAGAACCAATCAACATCGAGGTGCACAGAACAAGCAGTGAAACACAAGAAATTCGAACGCTTCACTACTATCTAAAGTTTGTGCTGATGCTGTCGTTCAGAAGAACGATGAAAGCTCCACGACTAAACCCTCCAGCTCAGAGAACAAAACTCCAGCAAAATCATCCCAACATCCATGATATTATACTAGTAAATTATTTGTGTAGTTCATATTCATATAATTTCCAAAATTTATCCATAGTGTTAAACTTATTTAAAATAAACCTTTATACTTGAACTTACAAACAAATAAAACTATAGTACATGAATAGAAAAAGTTGATCTGTTTTCTCAATGCCCATGTAGAAAAAAATACTGGTTACTTAGCTCATAAATTCCTGTCCCACTAACAATACAGTTAATGTATGTATACCCAAGATTGATTGATAGCCCATGTCAATATTGTGACTGAATACTCTTACATCAACTTATTACTATTCAGATTTTAAAATTCATACTGTTACAATACAAATGATCTAAGTAGTAATATCATTGTTTTATGAATATGTATATTTTCATTCTCATAGATCTACATTTGGTGTTGACTGTCGAGAAGATGTGAAACAAGCTAACATATCAATTGAACCAATTAAATTATCCAATACTATTTTCCAATCATAAGTAATAGTAGTACTATTTCTTTTGTTTAAACTTTGAAATTTTTTGTGAATATGTATAAAATGAACAGTGATTGCAAAAATTCTATGACGTAATTTCTTGAATAAAAGAAATACGTATTTTAAAAACGTTTATTTTCTATTTGAACGAATAAATTTCACAGTAGTCAGGCGGTGCTTTAAATGAATGACCAAAAAAATTTCAGAGATTTGAACTTCAAAAACAAATAGGACATTTCGTTCGGCAATTCGGTTCAAATATTAGAATCATCGAATATAAATATATGTACGGCCACCATGAGTTGATTGAAGTTGAGACCATTGAGTGTGGTAGCTCAATGTGTTAATTCTCTTGATACCGTTATAAATGAACATCACTATGTAGACTTCTTAATTTGCAGCAATTAACTAGTCAAAATCAATTTATGATGTATATCATCGTGAAACTAAAACAATTATTGCAGCACACATACATCGATATGTTTCGTGTGCTGTTGAGAAGTCTCATACTAGGACGAAACGCCCGATAATTGTTTAACTTTGATCAGTTCGTGATGTCAATGAAATTACCAGTATGGGGATTTGTGAAGTTTGTAGTATTTTCACAGTTGAAATCACGAATCAATCTAAGTTAGACCACCAATGAGAAAAATAGATCGACTCATGGTTTCAACTCTAACAATTCAATGAAATTAATAACAATATTTTAAAACTTAAAAATACACAATGCATAAGTAGAATTACAATAAGAAATTTATTTACAACAATCAAAAAGAAACGAAATCTTCAAAAGAAATCATTTTAGGATGGATTACACTCTTGAGGTGGTGTAATAGTGTTTGGAGTTTTTCTATGCAGTGATGTAGGAGCTGATGCTGTTGATGAATTTTTCTGAATCTTCTGATTGATAGAGTTGGTGTTAGTGTAAATGTTATCCCGTTTTTTCTGATCACTGCATGATGAGATTTTATTCAGTTCGTTTGAGTTTATATTGTTATGTACTTCTAGAGATGGTTTCTAGAGTTATAATGAATTAAAATTTAAAAAACGTAAAAACAGTCATGTTTACAATTGCAAAGTTAAGAAGACGATGATGTAACCACAGAAACTTTATTGGCGTAAAATTCTTTCTTGTTGACAGTCGATGGAATATGTCGCTTTAAGACTAATCCGTCTTAATGCTTGGTCTAACAAGGGGGGGGGGTGAACTGATCGCTTAAACAGTCTTAACTGATTAATGACCTGTGATCGTTAGATGACATCGATAAGTTGCTACAATTTTATCAAAGACGGAATGTCTATATATATTTATGAATAAGCGAGTTACTGTGTAACAGTTCAACCTGCAATGACCCATGAAAGAATAAAACAAGCAGTTCAGAAACATTTGTTCACTAGTATCTTCAAACCAAAGCTTCAGTCAAACAAACACAACACAGAACTTGGTACATACGTGCATCGGTTTAGGTTGCCATATCCTCATTAGCACAACAAGACGAAATTGGGAGAATTTCAGAGTATTAGGGGTAGTAACATGATTAATAGAAACATAAAGATTGGGCATCAAAGATATAGTTGAAGAAAATATAAATTAGTGAAATAATCAAAAAGGGTATGAGGAATTCAGGAATACAAATAGTGGATGCGTCTGGGTTATTGTGAACGATTTTGAGTTATGTCAATCACAGTCTAACCATTAGTTACGATGGTAATGCTTACTTAAGAAAAAAACGATCAGGTAAATAATATTGAGATTAGAAGTACAGTTTTAACTGAAAATAACGAAGCTATAAAACGTAAATCGACTCAAGCCATTGGAATATAAGTTGCATATTATTGGCAGCTAATTCTAATTACAGGTGTAAACCTTTTGACCGGAGACCGAATGATAATAGCCATTTGTGATGATAAGATTAAAAACTTTAATTTTTTAAAACAATTAAAAAACATTATAAGCAAAGATGGATAGTGGCTAGCAGTGGAATCCAGGACGCGCGTTTCGTCCTGTTTGGGACTCGTCAGCTGGATTCCACTGCTAGCCACTATCCATCTTTGCTTATAATGCTTGTAAATTAAGGCAATATCGAGGCATACGCACAGTATGCACATATGCCAATAAGAGACTGATCAATTTCAGTCCAAAAACATCAATGGGAAGATTCAAACAAAACAATATCAAGTGAATTAAAAAAAGTTTTCAAAAGAAATGGCATTTTAAGGTTGAACGGTATAATGAACATTTTGAAGTTATCATATAAAACATGTTAGAAATGTAGACCAGTAATAATAATATTTACCTGATTTGAAGGTTCTTTCTTAGAAATTTGCCAAGATGGATTGAAAGGTTTAGGCGCTGCAGGAGTAAGAAAAATTTCATCTTTCTTATTTTGTGGTTGAGAAATAGTAGGACGATCAATGAATTCAGATGGTCGACGATTAGCATCTTGATGATCTTTACCAATATTAGCATGAACAGAACGGAGTACATCCTGTGGTAATTGAGATGTACTTTCTGCTAATGGTCCATGTTTCAAAAAGCTAAAATCCTGGGAATATATTATTAAGAGAAAGTGATTTAACACAATATGAAAACAAATCAGCATGTTTTATATAGTTTAGATATTATCCTTTGCAAATAATTCATAGTAGTACATGCAGCATTTCTTTTACATTTGTATTTTTCAAAACATTTTTCTGTGTATTTAACATTTGATTGCTCATGAGAGAACTATTGTTCGTTTAATAACTGAGATGAATGCTACTCGACATCCGATTCGGAGGTTATATGGTTCAATATTAAATCTCAGGTTGAATAACATTCACTGATGAAACTTCGCAAATCAGTACAAGAGTTTATTATTCTGCACATGATGTCAATTAATGATGAAATATACCTTCGAATCATTAAATTTCTACATATTACCTCTTTGACAGAAATAACACTTCTTGCATTAATAGCTTATTTATAGCACTACTAAGTGTAATATTGAAGACCATAATGAATGAACGATGATTTCTCTTTTAACTTTGCATACGAAACTTAGGCTAGACACACAGTACAACGGTAGTAACTAAAGGCGAATGGAAATATACACTATGACTCGTCAATCCAAAAGCTAGAATATATACAATACACGAAAAATACCCGTTCTTTAGAAGTGTGTATATTCAATTATGAGACGCTTGGCCGTGAGTATTGGGAATTTACTTCAATTAACATAAAAAATAAATAGCATTAACAGTCCGCCTCGTTGAAGAAAGTTGTGTCACGCATACCATTAAATCTGCCGTCTATGACACATTTGTATAATGTTGCATATTGTCTATCAAAGTGTTTAATAACAGAACTGAGACACGCGTGAAATCGACGTTCAAAATAATGATTTGTCTAAAGAATGATATGTGCAGAAATTCGAACATTTCATTTCTACATTAGGTTTGTGCTGATGATGTCGTTCAAAAGAAAGATAAAAGCTTCACAACCAAACCATCCAGCTTAGAGAACGAAACCACCAAAAAGGACGACTCCATTGTAACAATATACAAATAAATTGATTACAAACCTCAACTAGAGAGGTACCCATAATGATTGACGCATCTGTGTGTATAAAGATGGAACGACTTCCTATAGTAATAACATAAAGATTAGTCACAACATACGATAGAGTAAATGATAAATGGTGGCTGTGTCTACAGTCAGTAATGACAATCGACAGTCAAAATGAGACTAAGAGCACACAAAATGGAAGTCGTTACGCTCAAACGAAGATCCAAAGAATGCACAAAAACTGGGAATAACTGTTACAGAGGTTGAGAGAATGTATTCACAATAATAAACACAGTAAATGCCGTTAGCTTGTGTAAATAATTCAGAATATTATGTAGTAAGTGACGTACTTTTCACTAGTAGGGGCGACCAAAACAAAACGTGGCATCAGTCCATAAAGTTGCTAGCTTCTGGTCTGAACCATGTTGGTGGCTTCAGGCTACTTGATTCGGGAGACATGCGAATATCGCAACCAATGGTTGGATATTCTGGGTAACATGGCTCAGAATCAGTCACATTGGCGTATGTGTATACACTCGTTGTCTTCCCTTAAACTGTGAGATTAAAACTACGTTATACCTTTCTTTCTACGAACTAATTCTTTTTCCCTGTATCACATCGTTATATAAAGTCTTTTTTTTATATATTACTACTATTAAATTGACTGCTTTTATAAATTCGGTGTGTCATGTTGTTGTGCTAATGAGGTGTGGTAAGTTGGACCGATGCATATATGTGCCTGTTCTCACGTTGAAGATGACTGACGTTTAGAAATGATCGAAAATGCTACTGTTTACTGAATGATTGCAAGTAGTATAAACCAATACACGAAAATGAGATAAATTAGAAGAGGAAGACAGTGAATGCAAACAAACTTATGATGAAATTATCGCTTGTTGATCAGACGCAGGTGGGTTGGTATGTGTGATATATTGGTAAATCGGTCACAGTAGTGCAACTGCGATAGTATTGCTGACTCCCTATCTTCCTGTACTGTGTTTCTTATATGTAGATTCTTATTGTTTTCGGTATTTTATTTTGCTGATTTCATGCCGCCGTAGTGCTGTGATCTGTAACAACTTTAACCGATACACACTCGTGTTACTTCCTACATCAGTAAGTGACTGACTGACTGGTATTAAAGTAAAGCCTAACTATGAAAATCTAATTGAAAATAATTATTGTCATATTCTAAATGAATCATATAACATAAAAGTAGTATACACATCGAATCACTTACAGGATTTAATTTTTCCGAATGAAAATCATGAAAATCGGTAGTCGGTTTTGAACAATTGTCGACATATTCCTTTTTTAAAAGCGGAGTAGATGAAAATGGTGAAAGAAAATGATCCGATTTGTGGTTGGTAGGCGATTTAACTTTTGATCTAGGCAATTCCGTAAGTGGTTTACGTGTTGAAATATGATGTCTCATAGGGCCGTTGTCAGGAATGGCT